AAGATTGTCCCATCAGCGTATATTGCCTCTCCTCATTCTTCCTCTCAAAATGCATCACTTTGCATTTCCCCACATTAAACTTCATCTGCCGCGTGTCGGCCCACGTTACCAGTCTGTCTGTGTCCTCTTACAGTCTGTTACTGTCCTCCTCACTGTTTACTACTTTTCGTAGCTTAGTATCATCTGCAAACTTGGAAATTGTCCTCCCTATACCCAAGTCCAGGTCATTTATATAGATCACAAACAACAGTGGTCTTAATACCGACCCCGGGGGGTCACCACTGCACTTCCCTCCAGTCACTCCATTGATCACTCTATCCTTATCCACTGCCTCTCCTCTCACCTCATCTTCCAAGGCGCTGTCCTTGACTGGTCCATATCGTACCTCTCACACCGCCTGCACTTCATCTCCTCAAACGGTTTCTCCTCCAGCCCCCGCACCATCTCAGGGCTCTGTCCTTGTTCCCCTCCTATTCAATATCTATATACTCCCTCTTGGTGACATCATCCGCAGACATGGGGTCAACTTCCACATATATGCGGATGACACCGATGTTTCTCCCTCTGCCCCCACCCTCGACTCCAGGACCCACTGCTGTCCTGACATACCCTTAACTGTCCTTTCTACCCCACATCCGTGCCATGACCCCCTCTGCCTTCCCCTACCTCCACAACATTGCCCGGCTCCACCACTGTCTCACACCGCAGGCCACCGACACCCTCATACACACTTTCATAACATCGAGGCTCGACTGTGCAAACTCCCTGCTTGTGGCCTCACCAACTCCTCCCTCCATAGGCTGCAGATCATCCAGAACTCTGCAGCCCGTGTCCTCTCCTGTACCAGGCTCCGTGACCCTATCACCCCCCTCCTCGTCCGACTCCACCGGCTTCCCATCTCACAGAGGATACAGTTCAAGATCCTGGTCCTCACTTTCAAAGCCCTCCACAGTGTTGCTCCCGCTGAGCGGAGGGAGCGGGCAGGTTGGTAGGGTTGGTACCATTCATAAAATCCAGATCGTCCAAAACTCTGTCGCCCGCATTCTTACCCGAACCAAACTCCGCTCCCCGCTCCCCCCAGTCCTGGCCGGACTGCACCGGCTCCTGTCCCAGAGAGGATCCACTTCAAGAACCTCACCTCGTATTCAAGTCCCTACACTCCTCTGCACCCCCCGACCTCTCTGACTTCCTCTCTCCTCGGCACAGTACCCGTTGCCTTCGTTCCTCCGGTCTGACCTCCTCCTCATCCCCCGAGTCCTCCGCTCCCCCCTCGGTGGCTGTGCCTTCAGACACTACCCCCCGAGGCTCTGGAACTCCCCTCCTCACTCCCTCCCCATCTCTTCCTACTTTCAGGTCCCTTCTGAAGACCTTTCTTTTCGACCGCGCCTTTGGTCACCTTCCCCGGCCCCTCCCTCCCTCCCTCCCCACCAGCTGGCTCCTCCCCCTCCCCCTCCCCTGGTCCCTCCCCTGCCTCCTCCCCTCCCCTGGCTCCTCCCCCCTCTCTTGGTCCCTCCCCCTCCATTGGCTCCTCCCCCTCACTCTGGCTCCTCCCCGGGCCCTCCCCTCCCCAGGCTCCTCCCCCTTCCCAGGCTCCTCCCCCTCCCTGGCTCCTCCCCTTAGGGCGCCAGAAAGATCCAAGTCGCTGTTGTTGTAGAGGTTAGGAGGTCGCAGAGGTAGGGGGGGAGCAGGGCCATGGAGGGCTTTGGAGGTGAGGACCAGTGGGGGGGGGGGGGGGCAGCCATGAAGGGTGATGCACACACACAAACACACACTGCGCCCCCTCCCTCACACTCTCCACTTGGCTGTTGCATTGAGTGGAGTTCTGGTGCCCTCTGGTGGCAGGTGGTGGAGGTGCTGCGGGTCTGTGTGACTGACCCCTGTCGGTCACGGGGCGGATGTTCAGGTCCTTCGAGACTTTCGCGAATCCGACAAAATTGTCTCCGTTTTTCAAACGAGAGTTTTCTCGTTTGAGAACTCCCATCAAAAAACGTCACATTTCACATCGGCGGCGAAACACGTCGTCACTTCAGCTCCGCCGCCGGGAGGAGGCGCTGCTCCCCGGGGCCGCCGGGAGGAGGCGCTGCGGGTCCACACCCCCCGGGGGGGGGAGCGCGGTCTCATCAACACGGCTCCGGGAGAGGACCCCCCCCCCCCCCTCCCTCTCCCTCTCTCGTCCCCCCTCAAGTCCCGCTCGGGCCGCTCTGAGCCCCACAGGCGCGGTGGCCAAGTGGTAAGGCGTCGGTCTCGTAAACCGAAGATCGCGGGTTCGAACCCCGTCCGTGCCTCAGCGGCGCATATTTTCTGTTTTATCTCTGACGGGTCGGGGGGGGGGGTCGCCCGGGGGGGGGCAGCCCGGGGGGGGGGGGTCGCCCGGGGGGGGGGCCCCCCCCCGGGCGACCCCCCCCCCCCGGGCTGCCCCCCCCCGGTAGCCTCTGAGAACGATACAAAAAAATTGTATCCCCTTATGTGAGAAAGGATGTACTCCCCTTTCGAGGGGGACCGCAGTGTAGGTTCATGGGGTTTGGTTCCTGGGGGTGAAGGGTTGACCCTCTGAGGAGAGTAAACGCTCTCTGTACTCTCCGGAATACGGAAGGATGAGGGGAGTGACCTTTTTTATAGACACTTATGTTTCTTATTGGGGGTTTGGACAGAGCCGACAATGTGGGGACGGTTTCCCCCTCTGAAGGAGAATCTGGAACTCGGGGGTCACAGTTTCAGGGGTAACGGTCAGTCTTTTTAGAACAGAGTTGAGGAAACACTTCTTCACTCAGAGAGAGGGCAGTGAATTCGTGGAATGGCTGTGGGTGTCAGTCAGTCATTGAACATATTCAAGACTCAGATCGATAGGTATTTTAACACTGAAGGGATTAAGGGATATAGGGACCGAGTGGGTAAATGGAATTAGGTTTAGAGGATCGGCCGCAATCTTATTGAATGGCGGAGCACAGGGTCCAGGGGCTGAATAGCCTATTCCTGCTTCTATTTCTTCTGTTATGTTCTTATGACAGTGGGTGTGGACAGACAGTGGGGGGGTGGGGGGGAGGGAGCCGACAGTGGGGTGACGGACAGAAAGTGAGTGGGGGGGGGGGGGGGGGGCAGACAGTGCCGGGGCGACAAACGGTGGGGGGGGAGACGGTGGGGGCGGCAGACAGTGGGGGGGAGGGCAGACAGTGGCGGGGGGACGACAGTGGGGGGGCGGGGGGCAGACAGTAGGTGGGGCGGACAGTAGGGGGGGAGGGTCAAAGAGTGGGGGGGCTGCACACAGTGGGGGTGGAGTTGTAAACACAGAGATCAGGGAAGCAATGTAGCGAAGAGCAATGTGGCTATAATGGGAGATTTTAATTTTTACATAGACTGTGAGAAGCAGAACAGCTCCAGTTGGGAAGGCAATGGATTTTTGGAACGTATTCAGGTCGGGTTTTCCCGGAACAATAGAAAACTGAGAGCACAGCACAGCGACGACATACCTGAGAGAGGACGGAACAGAATGGGAATTCTGTGCAGGAATTTGGTGAGAGTGGGAATTCGGTGCAGAGGGGGAAAGAGGTGCATAATTATAAAATATATAATATTTATATTAAAATAATATAAAACATGTCTGGGAATATGGCAGCTGAGACCTGTTGCATGCACAATGCAGAATGAGGACATATTGGAACTTTTATGTGGATTTTCAAAAAGCATAAAGTGCCATTTTTAAGCAAAATAGAAACCCACGGAATTAAAGGGGCAGTGGCAGCGGATACAGAACTGTCTGGGAGACAGAAAGCAGAGAGCGGTGCTGAACGGTTGTTTTTCTGACAACAACAACAACAACAAAATTACATTTGTAAAGCGGCCTTTCACATCGGGAGGACGTCCCAAGTCGCTGGACAGACAGAGTTACAGACCCGAGCTGGAGGTCGGGGTGGAGGAGGGTGGAGGGCAGGGGGGCATTCCTCGCCGGTCTCCCCAGCTCCAAAATTCATAAAATCAGCTTATTCAGACTCTGCCGCCCACATACTGAGCCGAACCAAACTCCGTCCCCACATCTCACCATTTCTGGCCCAGGCTCCACTGGCTCCTCATCACTGAACGCATCGACTTCAGATCCTCCCTCTTGTGTTCAATTCCCTTCACTCCCGGGCACCTCCCTACCTCTCCGACCTCCTCACTCCCCGTTCCACCACCCGGCGCCTCCACTCAACCGGCACCAGCCTCCTGCTCATCCCTCACTCCCTCCGCCCCACCATCGGAGATCGCGCTTTCAGCCACTACACCCCAAAACTTTGGAATACTCTCCCTCAATCCCTCCGCCTTGCCCCCTCTGTCCCCTCTTTCAAGTCCCACCTGAAAACCTTCCTCTTTGACCCTGCTTACGGCCAGCCCCCCGTTCCCCAGCTCAGTCAAGCACCGCTTTGAGACGCTACCCTATGTGGAGAGCGCTATATAATTGCAAATTGTTGTTAGTTGATTGGCATTTTGGTTTTCTGGGGGTAATAATCCCTCCAATTTTTTTAAAATATGAATAACTTGGTCACTCAATCCACGATTATTTATTGGACGCTGCTGTGCATAATTGGCTGCCATGTTTCACCCACAAAATATAGTCACTACAGTTCTGTGTATACAGTATATTCTACAGTCTACAGTATATTCTGTGAAGCTTTTTGAGACGTCTTGAAGACGTGATAAGGCCCTGTAGCAAATGCAAGGATTATTATAATACAGGAATAGCTCCTCCACCTCAATAGGAATTGCAACTTGCTTACTCTCCTTGTGTCCAATGCAGTAGTGATGCCTTTGCAGCTGCATCACTGCTACAGACATGCAAGTAGCGCATTGTCGCTGTGCCAAGCTGGCGATGGAGAGGATCTGCTCTCTATGCGATCGTGAGATGAAAGAGAAAATGCAACGACTAAGGGAGGAAAAGCCTGACTTACGATACGATCAAAACATACACAAGAAATTGTGAGAAATAAAAGGTGGCTTTGCTGAAAAAATGGAGAACTGGAGACAGATTGGACGAGCAGCCTTGTCACTTTCCATGCGAGCAACAGACGATTTTATTTACATTTGTTTCTAGGAATTGAACATTACAGAAAACAGCGGCCACTCGGTGGGGGAGGGGGGGTGATTCTCTGCCGCTGATACAATAATTGAGACACAATTGTATAAGATACAGAATTAGTTTCCTCAGAAGCTGCTCAATCTGATTGTTCTAGAGGTGATATTGCATTATTTCCACAGTATAACTGTTGATATAAGTTTTACTTTTTTAAAAAAAAATCATGAGCAAAGCTGCCCGTTTGTGCTAAAACAATCAACCGATAAACATCAGCACCGTTTATGGAAAAAAAATTGTAAGTAATTTACAGAAATGGGGTTGAGAGAATTAGTGCAGAAAGTGTTGGTTATTCGTTTGCCTCCAAACACCTGACAGTACAAAGAGCAACATTTCAACTCACAGCAACAGGACAATTTCTCACAGTTAAAAAAGGCTGTAATTTCTGTTTACAAGTTAGCGTGAACATGAATAAAAATTTCAACTATTTATATACACAATTTACACCTGAACAAAATGCCAGCAAAGAGCAGTGAGATGTTAGAGGCGGGTGGGTGTGGACGTGGGGAGGGTGGGGGTGTGGGTGGGGTTGGGGTAAGAGAGAGGTTATACTGGGTCCTGAGACAGTGAAGCACAAATACAAAGCGATGTGCTGAAGAATCATGTGACACCTCCCAACGCTCCTTACCAAAGGAAAAGGAAAATCCCGTTAATTACATTGTGTTTCTGTGTCTCTCAATCACCAGATTTGGTGCTTCACAGAAACAGATTGGTCATTGCCATTGGCCCCTCAATGCACAGGTTCCCTTACTCAAGTGTCGACGAGCTTCCCCCCCCCCATCCGCTGCCCCTCCAAACCACCCCCCCCCCCCACATCCCTTTCCAACCCGCGCCAGGGCAGACAGCTAGACCCCCCCCCCACCCCCTGCCCGGCTCTAGAGCAGACATTGACTCCAGCAGCTATCGCTCCATAGAAACGTCAAACTAATCCACTCTAATAAATTAGTTACTTTCCAGTGTTTGAAACCTTATATATACATGTAACGGAATCATTATTTTACACAATCTATTTCTCATATAATCTGTTAAAATAAGAAAGACATCTGCTGAGGCCAGCGAGACCCCCCCCAGCAACTCAAGCGACTGAGTGACTGAGTTTCTACAGAATCATCCCCGTTTAGCTGAGCAGGTGTCGGGTTCCACACAGACAGCGAGAACGTCAGTACAGCCCTGCTCCCAGGGGACAAAGTGCAGGAGAGACACAGCAACGTCCCTTTGATTCACAGACAGTGTGGACTAAACATTCATGTAAACACATTATGTCAGATAGTTCTGGCACTTCCTCCCCCAGGGCCAGTGTGAGTGTGAGACCCAGGGTCAGGCCAATGGCCCCTATTTCTTGATCTCAAGGATGGAGGGGTTGTGGTCGAGGATCGCCAGGATGATCTTGTCCATGTATTGCCGCAGCCGGAAGTTAATCTCCTCCTGTTCCTTCAGAGCTTCCATCAGCTGCCAGAGAGGAGATACAATCAATCACCACTCACAGCCTGTCCTGTACACAGCCCCCCCCTGTACACAGCCCCCCCCCCCCGTACACAGCCGACCCACCCCGCACACAGGCCCCACTGCACACAGCGGCCCCCTGCACACAGCCCCCTCCCCCACCACCCATTACCTCATCTCTAGATGCCGAGTCGATTTCCGCAGCCAGTGACTGCGCTCGGGTCTGTGTCGCAAACAGGTTCTTGGCTTCGTACAAACTAAGGCTGAGGATCTGGCCGTTCAGGTCCTCGTTCTGCTCCCTCAGCCGCACGTTCTCCTGTCGTTCCCAACAACAAGTATCAGGAGCAGCGGGGAGCAGGTCCCAACTCAATAGCCCCATTCCCCCTGTGTTCCCCCACACCCTGCGCTACCCCATGACCCCCCCCCTGCACTCCCCCACGCCCCCCTCGTGCTCCCCCCCATGCCGCCCCCCCCCGTTCCCCTATGCCACCCCCACGCTCCCTCATACCACCCCCCCGCCCACCAGCCACACAATCCGCTGAGGGTGTTTACCAGTTTGAGGCGTTTGAGCTCGTGCTCCAGCTCCAGCTCCCGACTCCGCCAGTTATACTCCTGAATCCCCACCGACACACTGCGCCCTCGCCCAGGCCGCTCCGTCTCCAACTTAAACAACTGCAAGTGTTCCAACTCCTTCCGCAAATCCTCAATTAGCTGCCGGAGAAACACAGAGTCACTGAGTTCCACAGCGACCTTCACACACACAGACACAGCCCTACACCCACAGCGTCCCCCCCCCCTCCACACACACACAGTCCCACACAGAGACAGCGTCCCACACACACAGCGTTCCCTCCCCCCCCCCATACACACACAGCCCCACACACACACACAGCCCCACACACACACACAGCCACACACACACAATGTACAGCCACATAGACACACACACACAGCTGATCGGCAGTGTTGGGCTGACCTCCTGGGTGGCCTCCCGTTCTTTCTGAAACTCAAGTCTGTTTTGCCTCATTTTGTCCATCATTTTCTTGTACAAATTCATCTCATCCTTGAGCCGCAAACTCGTGTCCTCCAGTTTGTACGTCATTCGCTGTCTTTCCTGCGAACAGATAACACATTCCTCACCACAGCCACAGCCACAGTTACAGCCACAGTCAACGCTACAGCCACAGTTACAGCCACAGTCAAAGCTACAGCCACAGCTACATCCACCACCACAGCCACAACTACAAATACAGCCACAGCTACAGCCACAACTACAGGCACAGTTATAAGTACAGCCACAGCTACAACCACAGCCACAGTCACAGCTACAACTACAGCCACAACTACAGCCGCAGCTGCATCCACTGCCACAGCTACAGCCACAACTACAGGCACAACTACAACTGCAGCCACAGCTACCGCCACAACCACAGTTAAAACTACAGCTACAGCCACAGCCAGTTATAACTACAGTCTCAGCTACCGCCACAGCTACACCACACCTACAGCCACACTTACAGCCACAATCACAGCCACAACTACAGCCACAGTTACAAGTACAGTACAGCTACTGCCACGCGTACAGCCACAGTTACAAGTACAGGCACAGCTACAACTACAGTCACAACTACGGTCACAGCCACAGCTACAGCCTCAGCTACAGCCACGGCCTCAGCTACGGCCACAGCTACAGCCAGAGCCTCAGCTACAGCCTCAGCTACAGCCACAGCTACAGCCACAGCTCTCACTACAGCCACAGCTCTCACTACAGCCACAGCTCTCACTACAGCCACAGCTACAGCCAGAGCCTCGGCTACAGCTACAGCCACAGCCACAGCCACAGCCTCAGCTACAGCCACAGCTACAGCCACAGCTACAGCTCAGCTACAGCTACAGCCACAGCTACAGCCACAGCTACAGCTACAGCCACAGCTACAGTCACAGCTACAGTCACAGTCACAGCTACAGCCACAGCCACAGCCACAGCTACAGCCACAGCTCACAGCTACAGCCACAGCTACAGCTTACCAAGTACAGCACAGCGTCACAGGCCACAGCTACCAGCCAGAGCCTCGGGAGTCTGTCAGGGACTAAATGTTACGTTGAAGATAATGCGAGCTAATCGTCGTTTCAGGGTGCTGCGGCAC